GGAAAATATTAGGGAAATAATTAATTTTAATTTTTGGCATTTTTGTGAAGACGAGTAAGCATTCAGTAGCTTAAGTGAAACAAAGAGCCTTGACACTAGCCAGGAATGCAGTAAATAAGAGTATCTAACAGGTAAGCACTACTTTGGTCTATTTCAGAGGGCTGATATTTTATATGAAATATATGTATATTTTGATATTCATATTTATTCAAATCATACAATTATGAAATTTTTATTTTAACAGAACATTTTGAAAATCAGATCACAAAATAAATTTTAAAACAAAAAAGTTGAAGTAGGAAACAATTTAGCACCGAAGGGCAGTCGTTTCTCAGGAAAAAATAAAGGCAATTAGAAACTTTACACCAACAAATAGAATGTTCTCATTTGGCTGGCAATTGATAAAAATGCATCCAGTTGTTGTGAATACTTAAACTAAATGATCCAGAAAAGTGCAGTTGATGCACAGGGTATTGGGATTGGCACTACCAGTGTAAACTGAGTCCAAAGTATGATACTTACTGCCTGATGTTTCCCCACTGATAATAATTAAGCTACGTAGATATAAAGGAATTATCAGATGGGGAAGGTGCCCACAGGCTTGCAGGCGCACCAAACACATAGCACATGTACCAATTTTAGTTCATACCAGATGTATGAGGAAAACAGTCTTTTGTGATCCCTTTTAGTAACAGTGATGAATCAACAAAATCAAACGGGTTAGACTACATAATGTGTTTTAGGCCTGTGATTTATGGTAATATTTGTAACTGTATATAAAATCATTCATTTGACTGATGTTTAGTGAGTGCTTTCTGTGTAGCAACATTGTGCATATCCTTGTGGAAAGGACAGTCCTGCAATTATTTGGACAACTCAATGGAATGTGTACTGACCATTCTCCTGGGGCAAAGAGCCAGGACACTGAGCAGCCCTCGCTAGGCTTAGAAGGAGAGGAGTATGACCTCATGTTTGTTCTTATGGGGATACTGCTTTGAGCTGCAGATATCCCTGTAATCTGTTTTCCCCCCCAATGCCTGACAGAAGTGTCTGTATGGTTGTCATATCTGATTCCCATAAGTTTCCAAGCCTCAGTGATTCTCAGAGTCATGGTCAGGTAAGGCTGTACACGCCCTCCCACTCCAGACCGTACACAGCCTCTACCTTGCTAGGCAGCTCTCTCAGCTTGCTCTTCCAGATTCTCATAGGTTTCACTCTGGATGAACAGTTAATTTGCAGCTTCTCTTCCATGCCACACTTGGAACCTCAGAAAACTCTGAGTGACATGGGTACACCTCACACTCCTTCCTTCTTGGCAAATTTGCCACCTACTGTGTATATGATGGATCAGATGAGGTGCATTTTCTTCTCTTTTGCCCCTTGAAACTTGGAGTCCATTTGAATTGTTTCTCATCACCCCATTGGGCTCTAGTGGGAGAGATGAGCAGAAACTCCCCACACACTGCCTCCTTTTCCATTCCCCCAGATACCCAGTCATCTCTCAGTCCTCCTGGAGTGGTTCTGTCTAGGAAACTAGGGCTGGGCTGTCACCTGCTTTGAATGTGTTACAACTCAAAGGAGAAGTGATGCCCTTGTAGTTCAGTCATTTTTAAATCCAAATCTCTGCTCCCAGATCGAGCCACGTTCACAACAAACAACCCCTTTTCCATGTGGCCACAAGAGAGCTAGAAGGAACACATTCAATGAGTACTTTACGTATCAACTGGGCCACATGTTTATGCACTATGTGCACCACATAACAACTCTGGATCTCTCACATACAGCATATATCTTAACAGGTCATTCAGTCTCAATGCTCTCGCTCCTTTCTCTGCCTTCTGTAGAGGAATAATAGGTTCAGAATCAGAAATGTCCCCTCTTGAAATATGTGCATTGTCTTTGTGAATATATCAGTAATAATACAAGCATACAAATTATTTATGTTTTTCTTTAAAATACAGTACTGTGACAATCCACTTGAACAATATTAATGGACACATTTTTGGTTTGCTTTGTTTCACTTTTTTCCCATTAAGGAAAATGTCTGATTTGTTATAACACAATACTAAAGCAACACTGTACACTTTAAGACTCCTCATTATTCAACTTTGTCTCTTAAAGTCTCCTTTTTGGAACAGACAGTTTTTTCATAGAAAAAGTATTTCTTCCTGGAAGAATATTGAAGTGGGGACACTAATAAAGTATCTGCCAAAATACAATTCTCTAAGAGTTCTTTCTGTGAAAGAATACATCAAAGAGGAATGAGGAGAGCAAGACAAAATCCAGTAGAGATGGAGTGGAATGGGATGCATTACTTTGGAGTCATGAAACATATGTATTATCTGTATATATGCATATAAATGTTTGTGTAAGTATATGTGTGTGCATATGTATGCATGCATGCACGTTTCTTAGCTCTATTCACTAAAAAAGACCAAGAAGCAAATGCACTCAAGTAGCAACTTATACACCTAGAATTCAAATATTTGTCTTTATACCGTTCTCCACTAAAAGAACCAGAAAACCTTGAAGGAATTCTTTTTCTAGAGCCAAGGCAAGATCAAGATAAGTCTGGAACATATTATGCCAAAAAGAAAAGAGGTACTCCAATAAATGATGGGGCATGTCACAGGGACAGAGAAACACTATTAAAAAGAGCTTCCCTAGTTAAATCTGGGTAAATTTGAACACCAATATAATTAAGGACAGTGATTAATTATAGATTATAAAAAGGAATCCATGTGCCCATTGAAATAAAAGATTCACAAAAAGAGAAAAATGTGGACTTTTGCTTATAGTCTAATGCTAAGCGTCAACAAGCAAATGTAGAGAAAGTGCTGGAAGAGAAAAAAAAAATCATTATATTTTAACCACCATGCTAGAAATTGACTCCATCAAGAACCATTAGTAGATGCTAAATCTATGGGAAATGTTGATAACAAGCATATTTATATGGTCCTAATGTTATCTCCCCACGGGTTGCTTATTAGTTGTAAGTGGTAGAGTAGAGGGCTAGGATGGGGTAAGGGACCTTCAAACTCTACTTGACCAGGTACTCAGCTCTGACATCATAAATGAGGGCAGAGAGAAAGCTTGTGCCTCTGGATGTGATGCCCTGAGAACACACATCATTTACATTTCATTTGTCTGAATGCACAACCTAAATCTAACATGAGAAAAGGACACACTCAAAATGATGAAAATTTTATTTTTAAAAGGGGGCTTGTTTCTTTAAAAGTATCAATTGCCTGAAAGTCAATGTATTTAGTACTGTTCCAACTCACAGCAGCCTGAAAAGACATGGCAACAAAACCTGACCCTAAGCTGGATCCTGAATTGTTGAGGGGAGTGCTTTAATATTTAGATATTTTTCCAAATGAATGTATGAGTAGTGATACCATAAGGGACCTGGGTTCGATGGAACAAATCTTGAAAAATGATGCAGAGATATGCTGTTAAGTTCCACACTGATGTAAGAAGTATATCATCAGATACATGCCAGTCGGTTTTTTCTATGTCACTTTTGCTATGGAAGTTCAAACTCTCAGAACTGTATTACAGGCCCACAATGTATATCTGTCCAAAGCTAGGTGGTATCCAAAGTTGGGGAAAATACACAGACAACATTATTAAGTAAGACTGTAGTTAAACTCGCAATGGTGATGTCATTTATTGATTTTAGGTAACCACAATATGGCCATTGCATTTACCATTTACAAGCCATATACAGGTCCATATGCAGGAATACGAAATTATGATCAAATACAAAATTTGCAAAGAATCAAAATGGAAGCTTTTTCTTAACTCATTCTGCATCTGAACCTAACCCATAGTCTTTAATAAGCCCATTTGGCATGAATATCATATGCTTTACTACAGATATATAGTTACATTTGATGAACAATGTAATCAATTTGATGTGAGTATCATATGCTTTACTGCCAATATACAGTTACATTTGATTAACAGGGTGCTACTATAGACCCCATTAGAGAAAAACCGAAACAACACAAAACAAAAACCCTGCACAGATATCATGTTACTTCTCTAAAATCTAAAAGTTTCACAATCTTAAGGTACCTGGGCTAGGCATGGTGCCTCACACCTGTAATCCCAACACTTCATGATGCCAAGGCAGGAGGATCACTTGCCAGGAGTTCAAGACTGTCCTGGGCAACATAGTAAGACCTGGTCTCTACGAAAAAATAAAAATAAAAAACTAACTGGTCATGGTGGTGCATGCTTGTAGTCCTGTCTACTCAGGAAGCTGAGAGAGGAGGATGACTTGACCCCAGGAGTTCAAGGTTGCAGTGAGATGTGATCATGCCACTGCACTCCAGCTTGGGAAACAGAGCAAGACTCTGTCTCTGCAAAAAAAAAAAAAAAAAAAAAAAAGAAAAAAAGAAAAAAAAGTGTGGCCCTGTGCTAATTTCGTTAGCAGGCAAGTTAAATGTAATTCTAAAAGGTGGAATTGAAAATGAAATGCTAAAATTAATTTAATGGACCCAGAATCAGGCAAGATTTTAAAACTCTGACTTAAATAAAGACAATGTGGTAAATTATCCATAGCTGTACGACCTATTTTAATTATAAGTAGAACCAAAATGTACAAGTACTCCAAATGTACTTTCTCTTTTCCTTCTGCAGTTATTAGCCATATGCAGGCAAAGACATAGTGGCATAGTGGCAAATTTTTCAGACTAAGAATTTTGATTCAGAATCCCACTCTTTTCTGCCATTATCTTAGTCACTTATATTCCTTTACCAGTTTCTTTAAATGTAAAACAAAATAGGCAATTTTGGTTAATGTAAACTTTCTTATGAATTTTAAAACGAAGTGATTCCAAAGTTTCCAGAGTTTATATTTTTATATTCTTATTCCATATTATTCTAAAATACATACTCCTAGAATTTTATTGATCTGTAAAAATGTAGTTTTCTTTGTTTTGAGAAAGAAAACCCACTCATCCTAATCACTTTATTTATTTATTTGTATACAGTGCAAGTTCCAGGGCCAGTAGAAAACCTGCAAGCTGTATCTACCTCACCTACCTCAATTCTTATTACCTGGGAACCCCCTGCCTATGCAAATGGTCCAGTCCAAGGTTACAGATTGTTCTGCACTGAGGTGTCCACGGGAAAAGAACAGGTAGGTGAAGGAATGGACCACACTGCTTCCATCTGTTGGATGTTTCCATCCATTGGATAGCTCTAGGGCTGCAGAAATGGGAAAAGACCCACAAGCTCTTGATACAGCCCAGTGTTTAACATGTTCGTTGAAAAGCTGATTAGTTTTAAAGCACTTGCTATTGGAAACTTTACACAATTTAATTAAATTCTGGTGATAAGAGGTAAATGGGCAATAAAGTGAAGTCAATAGAAAGGATGCCAATTTTTTGTTTGAGTATGCAGTGACCTGGCCTGTGTGGGCAACCAGATTTGTATTAACTCACCTGGTCATGGAAGGCATTTGCATTTTTATTCCTTAGACTAAGGGGTGATTGCCCTCATAGTCAACGGCGTTCGCCAAATTGCTTTCTTCGTTCTAATACGTTTATATTATATCTAACTCCCTTCCATCTTCAGGAAGTGACCTGTCATTTTTTATTGTTTTCAGAAGAACTTACTCTGAGAAGCCTAGTCTCCCCCTCCTCAGATTTTGCTCCTACCCAATGGTTAGCATAGACACCTGAAAAGAAGCAACTTAGTTGTTCAGGTAAACCAAAAGTAAATAGGTCTTTAGGGAGACCCATGAAACTGAAAAATTCTATTTTGTGATACATGCACACACGTATGTTAAAAATAGAATTTCTGAGTTTCATACATACGTATATATGTACCTCTATATAATATATATGTACACCTATATAATATATGTATACCTATATAATATATAATATATGCATAACTATATAATACATATAATACATGTATACCCATGTAATACATACATTATACGTGTATATACATATACAATACATATATTATGCATGTATGCACGTATATAATGCATTATACATGTATGCACGTATATAATACATATACACATATATCCATATTTGTATTATATGCATACATGTATACTTATATAATACATATATTATACATGTATAATACATATATAATATATAGTACATATATGTATACATATAATACATATATACATATGCATATATAATACATA